CCCACCGGCCATTTTTAAAGCATAAATCTCCATTGGAACCCACTCGTCACCCAAAAATTGTGTCCCCTCCGTATTTTACCGAGCTAACATCGGATCCAAGGTGTTGTCATGTAGTGGATCTCTTCTATTGCTCGTTTTGGCTCCCAAATCATGAATTTTTCACAATTCAAAAAACTGTAAATCGATTTATTCCGACTTACTTTTTGGTAAAACTCGAGTATAAAAAGTACTAATTAGTGTTTTTACTCTATTGTATGCTTTTTGTGATCGTCTTGTGATATAACTATTTTTTTATTTTTTATCCGGATTAGTTTATTTATGTGCAAAATAAATATAAAAAATATATATTGTTATTTTATTGAATAATTGGTGTTATATGTGATTTTAATGTTGTACGTATATTAATATGTCACTTTATTATTGTTTAGTGCCCTTTAGTGATATGTTGTGCCTTTAATTGTTATGTAGTGCCCTTTAGCGTAGTAAAACTGATTATAAATTTTAGCTTACGGTAGTTGACTTTGTTTATGGCCATTTAGAGTAGTGTGACTTTAGTGCTCTTTAAGATTCTGTAGTCTAGAATAAAAACTATGTGCCCTCATTAACTAACTCGGTTAGAGTACTCAATTATGAATTTAATGTATTAGTAGATAATTATCAAATATTAGATATGAATCATAAAATAATCAATTGACATTATAAAAGAGGCGCTGCCGGAAAGTTTGGGCAAAATATAACAGTTAACAAACAAATCGTCAAAAAAGTTTGTAGTATTTTTTATATGAATAATTATTAAATATATCTTGATTACTTATGAAAATTTAATATTTAATTCTCTTATAACCCCAAAAATATCTGACAAAAAATGATAGTTCAAACAAAAGCCTTCCGAATTTTAGTCAAAAAATATAGGAAACTATCATATGAAATACGAATATAGAAAATTTATCAACCTAAGCATTTGTTATATGAATAATTACTAAAATATCTTATTAGTTATGAAAATTAAATATTTAATTCTCCTATAACCCCAAAAATATCTGGGGAAAAAAAAGATGATAGTTCAAACAAAACCCTCTCGAATTTTAATCAAAAAATATAAGAAACTAACATATAAAACAATAATGTAGAAAACATTTCAACCTAAGTATTTTTATATGAATAATTATTAAATATATCATGATTAGTTATGAAAACTAAATTTAACTCTCTTATAACCCACAAATAGCTGAAAAAAGATGATAGTTCAAACAAAATCCTGCGGATTTTAGTAAAAATGTAAGAAACTAAAATATAAAATAAAAATATAAAAAATAATTCAACCTAAGTAATAATATATAAAATTTATTGATTAAATATTAATATAAAAATATCGCAATATATTCAAAGATGTTAAACGATTAAACAAAAAAATACTTTAATTAATATTGTTCAATTTACAGATATCGTCATGGAGCTTCCCCCTGTGCATCCTGGACCTGCATCTCAAGAGCTATTGTTGCTCCAGGGCAACCATAGGTCTTCATACATCTGGGATGGACAGTGTCTATCCCAGACCTTCCACCCCAGGAGTATAGACGATCTTTGGGAGTTCATTAGGGACCGCCCACTGCATCCCCGTACAGTTAGACGCCTTCAGTGGACGGGGTTTTATCGGATTATAGAGATCGTCCAGTTGCAGTTCAACTAGGCCTTTATCACGATTCACGGCTATGATAGAGCGGTGGCAACCAGAGACGCACACATATCATCTATCTATCGAAGAGGCTGCCATCATGCTAGAGGACGTGGAGGTTCTTTTCGGGTTGCCCGTTGATGGTGTGCATGTAGCTTACCTGCATGCTCTTAGGGACTATAGGGGAGAGGACTACCTTCATATGTTACATAGGCTCACCATTTTCCAGCCTGCGGAGCCTACTGTGTTAAGTGGTGCCAGTCGATTGCAGTTGATGCCCGTTAGGAAATATCTGGTGGCGCTGCACGCGGAGATTACTGATGACTCACCGCTAGAGGATATCGACTGGCAGACGAGGTTGTTGCCACTAATGATGTTTGGTGGTATTCTATTCCCGAACACTTCGGGAAACCTATTCAGCTTGCGATTTCTACATCATTTGGAGCGGCTAGATGAGATACCTAGTTACAGTTAGGGTCGAGTTGTTCTAGCTTACCTTTACAGGCAACTGTGCCGGTCGTCCTTGGGCACCATGAGAGATGTTGCCGGTTTTATAGTGTTGTTGCAGGTGAAAACATAGTCAATTCTTTTCATGATTATAACAGAGATAGTAAAAATGACTTAAATTTTACGTCCACAATCAATATTAGTTTTGGGCCTGAGAGCGGTTCCTGCAGTTCCATCCACCTCTGCCACCAATAGCTCCAGATGCCACCACCTTCACTGTTTCTCCCACTAGCTAGGATATGGGTGGATAGGAGAGGCCATGCCCGCGAGGTCGAGGCTTGACATCATCTCCCTTATTACATAGATTTGTTGGATTTATTTGAAAATGCTCAATTACATATATAATTAAGTTTACTAGGCATGGCTTGGTATCTCTTGCGTTTACTCACGATTCTTGTGTTTAATAAATAGTTCATATTGAGGCCATACAGCGACGCGCTCATAGCTGGAGCCAGATTATTGCCCCCATGGCCGAGCTATGTAGATGTCTTCAGTCCCACTTAAATGTCTCGACATAGTCGAGCATCATGCCACCGAGCGAGTCCTTCGATAGTTTGGTTGATCGAGCTTGTTCCTATTCCGCCCACTTGGCATTCCACACATTACCAGCTCGATGATCGCTGTAAGGTCGACCAGACATACTTGTCCTGGTGAGAGGCCCATATAGAGGGTTGGGACCATAGGTATTGCCTGATTCCGCCATACCCTCCACCTAACCTTTTGGAAGGGGAGCATGAGTACATGGCTTGGTATCGCAGTGTTACCCGACTTCTCATCGGGAATCCCATTCATCGCGCTGGTGGTCGGTACGTTCCATACACTGGGAGGCATGAGGCATTGGTATGTTATTTATTATACTTACTTATAATGTTACATTACTTTAACGTCCTTCCTTAATTAATATTTTACATGCTATGCAGGCTATTGGCTTACACCAGTTCTACAAGTTGGGACTGGATATGCTACAGCATACAGGCGAGGGAGCGGTAGTTGTGCACGGGATTGGTCATCGGGTTACTGATCTTGCTGCTGACACATTGAGACGTGCCCGAGAGGATGCACACTTAGGATATGAGGCTTCTTATATGTCTCCTGAGGAGTAATATCATGGGCCACAAATAGCCCCTGAACATGGTAGATGTGCCAGGCGTGGCCAGAGAGGAAGGGGTAGCTCATGTTGTCGTGATGGTCAGCGAGGACGGGGTCCCCAGCAAGGGGGCATTGAGACACCCGTGGAGGGTATTAGAGATGATCAGTCGGGTGACTACCCTGAGCCATACGATGCTCCTCATGATATGTCATCATTCAGACTTCAGCTATCACCAGGGACTTCACAGTTGACCCCGTCAGCTCCAGTGTTGATCGTGGGCACGGCCATTACGCAGCATGATTGGGATAAGTATTTTCCTGATCGTCCAGAGCCATCAACTCGTATGCCCGCCACTACTGGTAGGCCGCTCCTTTAAGCTGGAATGGTGTGAAAGAAATCCCACTAGAATCCACAATACCCATACTACGGAGGATAAGTGACATTCCTCAAAAAAACCTTGAGCATCCTCCGAAGCCAAAATACTGAAAGTGGGAGGGTTGTACTTCCTGTACCTCTCGGGCCTGAGATGCCCCCTCCGAAACTGCTGCCTAACCACGGGCCAAATTGGGACAACTGGTTGCACTGGTATAACCTCTAGGGAATGGTATACCTGGGACCGTGGCTCTGGGGTACGGGCGGCGGGAGTCTATGCTCCTCCCCCAGCCTAAGATGTGGCAGGAGTAAGTGGAATTAACCCTGCCTGAGCTAGAGTGCCAAACATGCTCAAAAACTGGGTAAGAGTCTGCTGAAGTGCAGGGGTAGTAACAGGTATCTTAGGTGCCTGTTCTTTAACTGGAGCTATTGATGGCTCAGCTGCAATAGCTTGTGCAGGTGCTATGGCTGCACCACATGGTCTACCTCGGCCTCTGCCCCAGCCCCAGACTCTTGTGACTCCCACAGAGGGCGTGGGTGTCTGATCATCGGATCAAGTTGTGCATGTCCTCACCATCTGTGAGAGAATAGAAAGACAAGAGTTTAGAATTTAGAAGTCAACAAGTGTGCACGATAAGGAATCAAAGAAGTGAATATTTTTCTAACAGTTTCATAGCCTCCTGAAGATAAGTACAAATGGCTCCATACCGATCCGCGAGACTCTACTAAACCTGCTTGTGGCTCATACCACCTATGAACCTAGAGCTCTGATACCAACTTGTCACGATCCCAAATTTCTCTCCGTAGGTACAGTAGACACTGGCGGTGCGTAATATGGAACCTGAGGTCTGGGAGTAGCCGGAATACCGCTGTAAGCTGGAAGTGCTGAAAGAATGGGACGACTCACATAGCCTCAACCATGGCGGGCTGCAGCTAGGGCACGAGAACTGTTATACGTGCAAGAAACTCGAAGTCTCTTAGCTTCCCTCCCTTTTCTCTCCCGGATTCACATACCCTCCAATCTCCTAGCAATTGACACTACCTGTTGGTATACGATGTCCATCTCCAGCTCTCGGACCATACTGAATTTGATACTTGGTGGAGCCTCTCAATAAATCGACGAACCCGCTCTCGAACAGTAGCAACCAAGGTTGGTGCATGCTTAGTCAAACCACTGAATCAGACCGTATACTATGACACAGTCATAGAACCTTGGCGTAGCTGCTCAAACTCTGCGCGCCATGCATCTCTAAGACTCTGAGGAACATATTCCCTCAAGAACATATCTGAAAACTGAGTCCAAGTGAGTGAAGCTGTCTCAACCGGACTATCCAACTCGTATGCCCTCCACCACTGGTAGGCCGCTCCTCTAAGCTGGAATGGTGTGAAAGAAACCCCACTAGAATCCACAATACACATACTATGGAGGATACATTGACATTCCTCAAGAAAACCCTGAGCATCCTCTGAAGCCAAAATGCTGAAAATGGGAGGGTGGTACTTCCTGTACCTCTCGACCCTGAGCTGCTCCCCCTCCGAAACTGCTGCCCTAACCCCGGGATGAACTGGGACAACTGGTTGCACTAGTATAACCTCTGGGGCATGGTCTTCCTGGGCCCGTGGCTCTGGGGTACAGGCGGCGGGAGTCTACGCTCCTCCCCCGGCCTGAGATATGGTAGGAGCAAGTGGAATTAACCCTGCCTAAGCTAGAGTACCAAACATGCTCAAAAACTGGGTAAGACTCTACTGAAGTGCAGGGGTAGTAACAGGCGTCTCAGGTGCCTGTTCTCCAACTGGAGCTAGTTGTGGCTTTGCTGCAGCAGCTCGTGTAAGTGCTCTGGCTACACCACGTGGTCTACCTCGGCCTCTACCCTAGCCCCGGCCTCTTGCAACTCCAACAGGGGGTGTGGGTGTCTGATCATCAGATCAAGTTGTGCGCGTACTCACCATCTGTAAGAGAATAGAAAGACAAGATTTTAGAATTTCGAAGTCAACAAGTGCGCACGATAAGGAATCAAAGAAGTGAACATTTTTTTAACAGTTCCATAGCCTCTCTAAGATAAGTACAGATGTCTCCTTGCCGATCCGCGAGACTCTACTAAACCTGCTGATGACTCATACCACCTATGAATCTAGAGCTCTGATGCCAACTTATCACGATCCCAAATTTCTCTCGGTAGGTACAGTAGACACAGGCGATGCGTAATATGGAACCTGAGGTCTGGGAGTAGCCGGAATACCGCTGGAAGCTGGAAGTGCTGAATGAATAGGACATCTCACATAGCCTCTACCATGACGGGCTGCAACTGGGGCACGAGAACTGTTTTACGTGCCAGAATTTTGGGGTCTCTTAGCTTCTCTCTCTTCTCTCTCCCGGATCCGCATACCCTCCAATCTCCTAGCAATTGACACCACCTGTTGGTATGCAATGTCCATCTTCAGCTCTCGGGCCATACTGAATTTGATACTAGGGTGGAGCCTCTCAATAAATCGACCAACCCGCTCTCGAATAGTAGCAACCAAGGCTGGTGCATGCCTAGCCAAATCACTGAATCAGACCGCATATTATCACACGATCATAGAACCCTAGCGCAGCTGCTCAAACTTTGCGTGCCATGCATCTCTAAGAATCTGAGGAACATTTTCCCTCAAGAATATATCTGAAAACTGAGTCCAAGTGAGTGAAGTTGCCTCAGCCGGGCTATCCAACTCGTATGCCCACCACCACTGGTAGGCCGCTCCTCTAAACTAGAATGGTGTGAAAGAAACCCCACTAGAATCCATAATACCTATACTATGGAGGATACAATGACATTTCTCAAGAAAACCCTGAGCATCCTCTGAAGCCAAAATGCTGAAAGTGGGAGGGTGGTACTTCTTGTACCTCTCGAGCTTGAGCTGCTCTCCCTCCGAAACTGCTGCCCTAACCTCAGGCCGAACTAGGACAACTAGTTGCATTGGTATAAACTCTGAGGCATGGTCTACCTGGGCCCGTAGCTCTGGGGTACGGGTGGCGGGAGTCTGTGCTCCTCCCCCCGCCTGAGATGTGGCAGGAACAAGTGGAATTAACCCTGCGTGAGCTAGAGTGCCAAATATGCTAACAATTGGGCAAGATTCTCCTGAAGTGCATGGGTAGTAACATGCATCTCAGGTGCCTGTTCTCCAACTAGAGCTACTAGTGGCTCTGCTGCAGCAGCTCGTGCAGGTGCTCTGGCTGCACCACGTGGTCTACCTCGGCCTCTGCCCCGGCCTGTTGCGGCTCCAACATGGGGCGTGAGTGTCTGATCATCAGATCCAGTTGTGCGTGTCCTCACCGTCTGTGAGAGAATAGAAAGACAAGAGTTTAGAATTTCGAAGTTAACAAATGCGCACGATAATGAATCAAAGAAGTGAACATTTTTCTAACAGTTCCATAGCCTCCCGAAGATAAGTACAGACGTCTCTGTACCGATCCGCGAGACTATACTAAACCTGCTTGTGACTCATAACACCTATGAACCTAGAGC